AAGGCCAGAGGTTTAGTCCTTTTGATATCTAAGACGTATTGTAGTTTTCTACATACATTTAGTTCTACATACGTATTTAATCTAAAAGGCCAACCATAGTGTTAGTCATCTGTGTAAAGTACTTGAAGTTAGCTCTTATTTAAATTTAGTTTTTTAGTAGTTCTTATATTTTTACGTTTAGACCACAAGTCGTTGGTCTTTGTATCCAGAAGTGCGGGACCACCTGTAATATCGTGGAGAATAAAGGGTAAAGTTAAGCCTTCTTGCTTGTGCTGTCCATTCCACACATACACGAGCATAGCTTGTGTAAGCTCCCATTGAGGATATTAGATATTCCCTAAACAAATTAGAAGATCAAGAAGTCCTGATAAACTGGTCAAAAGAGACCCGTAAAGGAAATGCTCCCGGTTTCAAGAAGGAATGGCGCCCAAACTACTCTGAACTGGTCTCAAAACACTGAAACGGACGGACTGTAAATTCTACTCATAAAAAGAATTTTCATGGATGAAAAATTTAAACCCCTTCAAAACAAGCAAACATACAAAAGAAAGCAAGCCCTTTTCTCGAAACAAGGGTAGTAACGGACAAAACTAGTACCTTCAAAAATCCAAGAAAGTTTAGTATAAAAATGTAAAATGCAAATTATGTTGTCCTTTGTAATTGATCAAAAAGCAAAATTCCCCTTGTATTATAAAGTTTTCAAACCTATTTAGAAATTTTGAACAGAAACATTGATAACTCTTACTTTCATACACGAATATTACGTTAAAATATACCCTCAAAATATGAGTAGCATTCTGAAGAAACTTTGGAAAACAACAAATTCACAAAACTTGGGTTCAAAGTTTAAAATAAAATTACATTTATTATTTAGAAAGTTTGATTAATGTACTTAGTATTAAGGTACTATTATTAATTTATACATATAATAATTAAATAATTAAATTTGGAATAAGGATATATTATATGAATTTTTAGAAATCCTAAATAGAAGATTTATTCTTCCTCTCTTTATAAAATTCAGTATTGTTTGATGTATTATAAGAAATAAAAATGTCTCTCATGAGCGGTGAAGAGTAAGCTTTTCTTTCAAACAATTATTTGAGAAATGTATTGCAGATTTTTGTTTCCAAAACGTTTTTATTTTGCGGTATACATTTGGCTGCCCATTTAAATGCGTCTTCCTGGTGCGGTAACTGCCTGAAAGCAGTAAAGGGAAGAAACCATTCCAGAACTAAAATTATTTTATCTTGATACTATGCTGCTAATAATTTATCAGGAACGTATTAAAAATGATGATATATCCAATAGAAATCACATATTGGCACTGTCAAGCTGTGCCTCAGTTATCACTGAGCCAGCAATTGTGTTTGATAAAAATTTTCTAAATCAGACTTACTTAGTTTTCTAAAACAACTGCTGACGTAAAATTAAAAACTTAAAGAGCAAAAACCCATTTAATCCGTTACTTGTTGATATTTACGTGGACTAAAATGAGACCAAATTATTGAAAACAAAAAAGACTTTTTTAGTGGTGAGGAGGGTTAGGTATATAGACGACACTATCTCGCTTCATGGAGAATGGTTGAGGTAATAATCTTACGGTGCATAATATGAAAGTGCGCAGAACACGTGGATTTTTTTGCGCAAAGGAAAGATAGTTTTAAATGTATCTAATTAATTATGAATTGCATTTATTTAGCGATATCACTCACGCTTCGAACTTGCTTCTTTTATTTCCATTCAAAAAACTCTCTTTAACGAAACGTTTTCTCGTTTATCTTCCTTCTCATACTAAATATTGCCACCTGTTAAACTAAAAATGATGTCGGCTTCATGCATGTTTTTCGTTTCTCTTAACATGTATTCTTCACTTTTTCTCTAGCTCTTGACCCAACCGAAAGGCATGGTGATTAACGGAGAATAAACCCACAGTGCTCGTCTTAGGCCCGAATCCTAGATAAAACTGAGGTTTATGACTACACATGTTTGCCTTTGCATAATGTAGACATTTAAAATCTATTTATGCCAAGGTTTTCTCGAGAGGCTCGTAATTAAGGAAAAGGGATGCCGGAGTCGCGGATTTCATCCCCAGCCTTCCTAATGTCATTGTAAAGCTTTCAAGTTGAATCAAACAATCTTTTCAACTTAAAATTACTTGACATAAATTTCCGTATATGTCAATGGCTAAGTTTGTGTCTTTTATAATAGGAAGATGTCTTACTACAGGTCGCGCAAGCTAAGCTTTTAGAACTGAACTCTGTCGTTTCGGCGGAACTCGTGGCTTTGATAGCTGCAAGAAAGTACGATAAAATACTCTGTTAAGTACGATAAAGAAAGTACGATAAAATATGTTATACTCTGCTTCTACCATCAACATGATTATCATACAACGCAAAAGCCCTTAAGTAAAAAGCTACAAAAGCCCTTAAGTAAGGCATAGTCAATATTTTTATCAATTTTTTAACAACAGTCCTTAGTTATCACTTTACTTAACTATATTGACATTAAGGGCAATGAGGTAGCGAGCACTCACATCTTAGAAAAAGTAACTTAATTCCCTCTTACCAAATGGCAGGAGAACTGGAATTCTGCGGACATTGAATTAAAGAACTCTTTTATTAGTGTGATGCATGATATTATTCTTACGCGTATCACGTGTTCACTTACGTCCGAGGTTCATGTAGTTCTAATTTTAATTACACATTTTCACTCTTAGAGACAGTGATTTCAGCAGGTGTAGCAATATATATTACTCTAAGCACAATATTTTCACTGCTTCTTCATGGAGAATCTAAAAAAATCTGTATCTAAAAACTAAAAATCCTGATACAGAGCGAATTTCATAACACATGGAGACACACACAGGGGAAAAAAAACCACGAGCTCCTTAAAACTTCTAAATCAGTGCTAAATATCTGCAGATTTTGTATGAATTTTGCGTAGTTAAATGACGTCATTCAAAATGGCTTTAAATACTCTTGTTCTTCAAGTACATATTCTGTATCATAGTCTAATAAAATTAATAGACTTACGTAAAATAAATGACATCCTGTCTTAAATTTTGCTTAACCTCGTATAGCGATACACCCTGACTAAACGCCTTGGACCACAAGAAATTGTAACATTAATTACTGAGCTTAAAAATAATATTGATAATGCAGTAAGATTAGAAGTGATTTTATTACACAATTTGTTCATCGCATGTCAGCAACTTTTATTACATTCTACTTCCTAACTAAAATTTTTAATTTAAGTTTAAAACTTTGCTTTTTGTTATCAGTGCTTTCTTGATGATATCAGCATGTTGCTCCGAAAATGTTTACTGACTAGATCCCTGTGTCCGGTTACTTGATATCTTTCTTGCCTCGTCTGACCTCATCCCAGTCGCTTTTCTCTCTTCATTCAACAAGTTGGATTGTCCTTATATAGTTCGATGAAGTGAAAGAGATTAAATCAAATTCTTGTTGTTACTCTTGTTATGTTCCATTGAGCTCACGAATGCAACGATTTATAATCAAAGCTTATCAGCGCTCATCAATCTATAATCAAAGCTTATCAATTGAGCTCAAGGATTTATAATCAAATATCTGAAATCATCATGAGCTCATGAATTAAGCTCATGAATACAACGATTTATAATCAAAACCGTGTATTTTTTCACCTTTAATTTCAATATTCATTCAATCTACTTTCTTCTTGTTTGCTGCACCATTAGTATTTAAATATTTCTATAACACCATTTAAGAATATATTACTGAATTATTCATTTCATAATTTTGAAATTAAAATGCAATAGATGTGCATGTTGTATACCTAAAATGAAATACGTGCTTTAAAGATGGACTTTCTTTGAGATATTTTCGACAACCTTGCTTAGAATTTAACGAAAGTCGTACTAGAGTAAAAATTTCAAATTTTAACGACATTAGTATGCTTGAAATGCTTTTACCTGATTTCGAAATCTGGCAGCTACACATAATGTTTGAAGCTGCAAAAATATATTTTCATGTGAAAGTATATTTTATTATAAAAATTATTTTTCCCATTCACTTTTATGTTTAACACTGTTTGTAATACATACTGAGGTAGAAAGGTACGGCTCGAATTTTGTTGTGGACTTAATGCAATTTATTATAACTGTAATAAAATTAAAACCCGCGGAGTTGCTCGGTTTTGTTTTATTTTATTGTAATAATTAAATATATTTTAGAAGCATTTGGAGTAAGTGACCTTCAAAGTGATAAGCTTAAATATAATTAATATCAGTATATTAAGTATTTTCAATGATATATTTTGAAAGCCACCACAATTAATTGTAGTTAGCTACGAATTTCTACTTAGTTTAGATTAATATGACTTCGGGTACAGTTACCTAGAAGAACTAATACTAGTTAGAGGCATTTAATAGAGTTAGGTAATTATTTAAGCGAAGTGTTCGCTCTTGGTAACTATGTAAAATGCGGAATCAATAATTTTCGGAAGTCAATAGATCTCTTACTTGATTTTAAATCGGATAACGCAGATTTATTACATTAAGAAGAAACAAGTTTCAGAATTTGATTTATTTTATCAAAGCAAGCCGAAATGTTCAGTTAATATTTAACGAGTTAACTTATTTAGATTTAAAAGTGTTTTATTTTAGAAATAATTTGACTTAAAGACACAGACACTAAAATCAGAAGTACATTTTTATTTTGTATAGAATTTTAGAGAGAATTTATGTCAGGTAATGAGAAAAAAATCATCAAGAAATATTTTCATACACTCAAATATCTGATGCAACATATCCGAATTTCAGCCTTTCTTGCAGTGATAACAAGCGCAATTTACAGCAGATTTAAACGTTAAAGCTTTGGGTCCATCCAAGCACATTACTTTCACCTTCACCTGAAAATGAAACAAAGCATGATTTATATCAAAATAAGCATAAATAATTTTAAAAAACTTTAAACATAAAAGATATACACCAATGTTAAATGCAAAATTTAGAGAAAATATCTAGATCAGCGTAATAAAATCTACACTAACCTAAAGTTGTCTTTTGCTTTATATTACAGTGTACCTACTCATTATATACATTAGTGCCTTATAAGCAGCTTTTAAATATTTAAATGACGTTATAGAGTCCCTCGCTCTTACTCTATTGAAGTAAATGTCGATTAACCTAGTGAACTGTTAAGCGACATATCGCTGAGTTCTAATAACAGAGGTCGTAAACTCAAAAGGGTTAACTACCCTTTATTTCACTGAAAATAAGATGAGCAGTTGGCTCCTTACTTGGGCTTACAACAAAGCCTCCACTCCGGCTTGAAATCAAAATAAGCCGAGCGTAACAGTTTCTAAAGAGATTTAGCCCGAAGGCAAACACGCGCTACTCAGGAGTCTTAGCCCTCTCTCTCTCTCTCGAAGTAAGTTGAACCTTCCTTAAATACAACTTTTTGCTCATTTGCATTCAACGCGATTCTTAAAACTCATTATGATAGGGAGTTGTAAGTTGAAACAAGAATCGATAGGAAAATACTTACGATTAATTTAAAGTAACTGTTATAAAATTAAAATATACCTCACAACGTCTTATTTTCAAGGAACATTTTTTGGTGTTATCAAACAATTTATTTGCGGTTTTAAATGAGAGGCGTGAATTGAGGAATGAAAAGCTACTCTAAATGCTCTGGAGCAACATTATATTCAAGTATGCATCATTATCAGTGATAACTCTTGCAAATACCTATAGATTTTGCTGAAAAAAAACTGAATGTAGAATTTCTCTTGATCTCAACCTGCATTCCTTAGACATTTTTGTATTTCGGATGAGAGGTAAACACGCTTGAAAAAAGTTTGTTTTTGCTTCTTAAGGCCTTTAATAGGTTACAGAATTTATTTTTGTTGAGTTTATAAGGTCTTTAATTTTTATCACCTGTTTTCGAAATTCTTGATTTATGTTCTTTTTTTTACGATACTGATCCTATATTTTTAATCAACTTGAAAATTAATTTTGAGTTCCTAGTTCATTCTTACCTTCGTAATGTTAGAACGGATTAGAGTTTTGATTATGGCAAAGTACACTAGGATTATTTGATTAAAGGAAGGTATGTCTTCGTAGAGTCCTTTTTAAGAGAAACTGGATTACACTCGCGTTGCACATGGGAACAGGCCCGAGCAAACACACCCAGCCCCCTTATTTGCCAGCACTAGAACCTGACACAAGCCGCTAAATTTTGGCGGTCATATCCACTGAATCGTAGATGAATCGTAGATAAAGTTTAATGTGATAGACAAAGAGCTTTTTACTTTTTAATCCAATGAAGTATTATAAGAAAAGCAGAAACATAGGAATGAACTAGGATTCAATTTCTCTTCTCTTTGCTTACTACAATGTGTAATATTTTGCCGCTAGAAAAAGAAACGTGTTACTGTAAAGAAAGTTCTGAGAACTAAAGCGTAATACGAAATATGAAAAATGTTTTTTGATTTACATATATGTTTTTATTTTTGTTTTCAATTCATTAAGTTTTATCCATTTTTAAGCATTGTGAAATAATAATTCTCTGCGTAGAATACAAACTAGTATTATTTTCTTTTTAATTTCATGAAAACCATGTACCAGATTTCTATAGAATCGGAAAAAGAAATATATGTCGAAAGATTTCATATTTTCAGTTTTATGAAAGTTTTGTCTCATTAATAATTTTTTTAGAAATATGTTGTTGATTTTAGAAGATGACTTTTGTGTACCCATTTATAAATATTTTTGTTTGTAGATGTTTGGGTATTGCTCTAATAATTCGAATGTGAATGTGAGTATATCATAATACTTTGCAAGCTTTCTGTATTTTAGCTATAATTCGAAGTTTTGCATTTTGGTTTCATTTAACAGTCTTATCATTTCATCCCCATTTTTACTCATCATCCTTCACTTACATGAGATCTTAATATCATTTACAATTACATAATATAAAAATCTGCATTTTATGAACCAATATCTAAGACTTGTTTGTTAGCTTATAATGTATTAGAACATTCGTAGATATAATTTTCGAATACTTTTGAAATACTAATTTAATTGCCTATCAGGAATATCGTAAAAAAAGACTGTATTATAAATAGTTACTGTGTAAGATATTTTTCTCCTTCCTTTCCACATGCCTTCGTGTTATAATTGGAAGCATACTTGGCGTGTATTCGAGAGGTCCAGGGCTCGAATCCCAGCAAGAACGTCTGCGCATTTTTCACGTCTCCAGCTTAAAACCTAACGACTCTACAAGTGACGCTTGAACTAAAAGATAGTGGATGATAATTCGTCACCCCCAGGATTTGGCGACTAGATCCCTTAATCGTCAATCGTCCTTTAAAAGGTGAGTATATAAGGTATTTTCTCGCTTCCTTCCGCATGCCTTCGTGGTCTAATTGGAAGCGTACTCATTGGGCACGGGCGCTTTCGGGCTTACCAGAAAAAAATTCAATTTGCAAAATAATAGTCTTTGTAATTATTGTAGTGCTGAAGGCAATGCACGACATTTCGTCGAAGACTGCGTATTATTGCGACATGTTAGGGAAAAAGATAGCAACATAAAATAATTTTGTTGCTGCAGGAAAGAGTTTAGAGTTTCAAAAGATTTGGTAAAATTTATAAATGGCAATAGAGGCATATTGAGAATTTTGATTTGATGTTTTTTTACAGTACCTTTTTATCTGTGTTGGATGTGCTGCGTTAAACATGAGGCCGATTTTTATCGATCGGGAGGGATGCCGCACACTCGTATACTACGTTACATTACTCACTTGTTTGCCCGATGTATTTTAAATTTTAAACAGAATGACATCTGTTCCACAGGAATTAAAACTGGGAGTTGAATTTGGGAGTTTTAAGATGTGAAATCGGCAGTTTTAAGATCGCACAACGAATTTTATAGTTGAGGAGGAAAGAGAAATTGAAGAAAATAAGAGCAATTTCATAATTAACTGAAGGGGATAATAAGATAAAAAATTTTTGTGGCTGCTGATGATACATAATTCTTTAGGATGATAAGGAGAGATATCTTTAAAAGTATTATCAGCGACTCTTAACATAAAAGCTTTATTAACAACAAGTTTAAAATAACTGAGCACGATAGTGTAAGAATAAAGAAAACAAAATGACGAGATTTGGCCTGGGAAGAAGGTGAACAGATTAACAAATTCACTTACCTTTTTAGCGTAGATATTACTAGAAAATAATGAAGAAAGATCTAATACTCAAGCATTTGGATAAAGTGTATGATGAATTCATTAAATTAAAAATCTTATAAATGCCGTTCTTTAGCGAATTTTGGGAAAAAGCCTAAATTCTATGTTAAAAATTAGCAATAAGGGGAATTAATGTCATTTTAAACTAAACTGGAAGTATATGCAATGATTTATCAGTCTTTTTGATTTTGGAGAATTTAGAATTTGAATGATCCTCTGGAATCGAGTGGTAAGAGCCCGAGTTTCACTACTTCATTAGCGTGCAAACTTCTGTCCCTTTTAGTGGCTTGAAGGAGATGAACGTATGTCAATGGTTTTCAAAATCGATAGAGTTTTGTGTAAAATTTATACCAATCTACGATTTTGTTTCTGTCCAGTTCTATTTCTTACATTAAAATGGTTACCCTTACATTTAATTTGCTGTTAAAATATTTACTTCTAGTTTGAATTTCTGTCATAAGAAACTTTTCATACTTGAAAAGTTTCTTATTTCTGTCATAAGAAATGGGACTGGGCTTAAAATCCAAAAGGACTCAACAAAGAAAGCTAAAAGTATTCATGAAGTGTCTCCAACTGTAGTCTTTATAACCGCAGATATACACAGAGCTACCCTGATCGTTATATTGGTTAGCCATGGCGGTTGGGCGGATCCGAGTCTCAAAGACTGCATTTCTGTTTTTAAATTGTGCAACGTCTTTGCAGCATTACAGCACACAAAATGTCGTTCAACTGACTGCTTCCTTGAGAAGGTTCTCATGAAGAAAAAAGGGATAGGTAGGTAGGTGATAGGTGACGGGGGGCACGGGCACTGTCCCTTTACCATTAGGTTAATCGGTTTAGCACCGTGCCCACCCCCATCTAGAGCCATATTTATTGAATATCAAAACAACAAATACACGGCCAAACAAGGGCTGGATTTGGATCTGTCCTTCCAAGTGTCGGCCATCAGAATGAAAGCGAAAGCTGGTGAAACTCACATTTTCCGCCTATGAAGGCCTTGGCCAACAAGAAGCGCTACTCACTGATCTTGGTCACTATAAATCTATAGACCTGATCTGACTAAGGGTATCATCAGGATTATTATTAATAACACAAATAATATGATTGTGTTAATTAAAAAATTATCACATTTTTACACTATAGGCAAGTATTAGTGCTTTTCATAACCAATTGTTCTTAGAATACAGTTTACTTACATCTTCAGTCTCCATTATGTTACAACACTGGCCATAGGATGTAATCGTTTGTTTTGGATTGATGCGCAGGGAATCTTCGGTAGAAGGCACCGAATAAGAGACGCAGAAACCTCTACAAGCGTTTGTCGTTATATCGAATTCTACACATCCAGGAATTCTAATGGTCCTCGTGTGACCTAGGGAGGAAAAGAATCATGTCGCAACTTAATTTTAGGATGCAGAATCAGAATTACAAGCTGGTTGTTTAGAATTTTTATGTATTAGCATTGTATCAAGTCACAGAAGCTACAGTAATGCTAAAATGTCTATGTACATCACATTTAATGCAGTGATGTTTCTAATATAAGTAAATTTATGGTAGAAATATTTCTTTTTTTAACAGAGAAAAGAATTTATGCTCAAAATCATTATGACACATTCTTTCGAAAATAGAGTAGGAACGGGAACTAGGAAAGATGAAGGAAGAAATGCATGAAATCTTAGCTAAACGCATGGTTTCACCTACAACTTACGGCATTGCTATTTTTATGCAGTTTAAGACATTGCTTAAAAAGGTGAGAAATTCTTAAATTATATACGACATTGCTTAAAGAGGTACTCTGCTTGAACGTCTAATCTGTAAAAGGCATTGCTTTAAAATAACACAAATTCATAGCTTTTGAGAAGAAAATAAATTCATTAAAAAACAGTAGACGATATCCCATTATTGAAAATTGTAAACCTAATTCAACTGACATTAGTTGATTATAATGATATTTTTTTTAATGTTACAAATTGCAGCAGCATGAAATTCAGAATCGATACTGACAGTTCTTAGGTAGTCGCTCTGGCATAATACATACACAATACATGCATACGTTTATTGTACCAAATAATATTATGAAAACGTAATTATATTTTACTAAATTCCAGTTTTATAAATTTGTGAAATTTATTTTAATAGTATGATTTATACGTTAAAGTTTAACGGTTAGACTTTAACGGTTTAAAGGTTAGACCCATTCTAAGATCTTTGCGAAATCTTTCCTAAATGCTTTTAGTTCAAAGCTCCTACCAAGGACTGAGATTATACAGAAATGAAGTTATTACAACTGCTGAAGTTTTAACTTTTAACTGAAGCAAAAGCTTAATTATATGACAGCTAATGAATTTTGTTATGAGGTTTCGGTTAATGGATTATCAGAAACTTTCGGATTTTGATTATCAGAAACTTTTCATAGACAAGGCTTCAAATCTCATGTACTGTCGTCCTGTTAAATTCTAAGCGTTTATGTAAAACCCCAACATACGGAATATAATAAGATTTTGCCTTCTTTCTATAACAAAATTTATTTTATTTGTTTTATATAAGGTATAAACGCCTTCATTCACAGAAATCCATAAAACTGGTATGTAAAAAATAAAAAGTTTCATTGTTTTCACGCCGATACATTTAAGTAAATAAACAATCAAAATAAAAATGGAAATAGAAATGAGATTTAATTATGTAAAAATTAAAATTAAAAAACTGTAATTCGCAATACATTGCCTGAGAAGTTATAAAATGAGCTTTCAAATATTGATTCATATAGAGCAGAACTCCAAATATCCGGACTACGTGGGACCACAGTCCCAGCAGATAAATCAGGTAACTGTATATTTCTTTTTTGTGTAGGTCAAATATGTATTTAATATAATGCAGTTGAAGGAATTTTTTTTTACTTGACGAAATTTCAGTAAAAACTAGGTAACAATAAAATATTTTTATTTACTTAAATGAAATATAAACGTATTTTCGAACGAAATATTACACACTTTCTTTCGACAAAATTAAACGACGAAATTATTTTTATTTGACTAAACAAGAAGGCAGCTTTTATTTTAAAAAATAAAACAACGAAATTATTTTTATTTGACTAAACAAGAAGGCAGCTTTTATTTTAAAAAATAAAACAACGAAATTAATTTTTATTTAAATTGAATTTAAAAGGAAAGAATAAACAGTAAACTTTTCAGCAAATGTTATTGATTTTCAGTTATTATGTATAGAGAGTATATAATTATCGAACATTTTAAAGCAGTCTAGATATCGTACAAATTCATATAAATTAATTTAATGACTTTTCAAAAATATGTCCTGCGCTGTTATTATCTTCTGATATCATTAACTCGACGAAACATACTTAAAACTCATATGTGAATTAATAAGCTTAATTTTGCTTAGCCTGTAAGGTATTTTCTCCTTCCTCTCTGCATGATTTCGTGGTGTAAATGGAATCACGCTCGACGCGTATTCGGGAGATCCTGAATTCGAATCCCGGCGAGGGCATTGCACATTTTTCACGTTCCAATATATATATATATATTATGATTATATAATATATATATATATATATATATATATATGATAATGATATAATGATATAATCTTATGACTCTACAGTGGCGCCCGAACGAAAAGGTGGTGGACGATAATTTGTCAATAACAGGATTTGTCATTTGAATACCCTCATTCTCAGGCCCCATTTAAAAAGGCGGAGTATATAAGGTATTTGCTCCTTCCTTTCCGCGTGCCTTTGGGATGTAACTGGAAGCACACTTGACGCGTATTAGGAAGGTCCCGAGTTTGAACCCCGTCAAAGGCATTGCACATTTGCACGTTCTAACAACGATATAATCTAATGACTCTACAAGCCTTAAATGTACAATAAATGATCCAGCTAATTGGAGTTCCTCATAATTACAGTCTGGGTAGTTGGAAGTTTATTGGTTTACTGAAAGAATTCCTCTGCGAGCACTGTAAATAAATAAAATGGATATCTGTTTCATAAAAAAATCTAATTTACTCAATTTAAATTAAAATTCATTTACTTACCTACTTTAAAGCAACCATCTTGTTCCCATATATTAGCTGATGACTTGTTCAAGGATGTTACAATTGTTACGAAGAACAAGGAGAACATCAAACCAGTTGTTAAGGAAGTCATTTAGGAATATATTTTTGATTGTCTACTACTTTAAGAAACTTGCTATCTGAAATGAAATATCTCAATAATACAAAATAAGAAAGGTTTTCCTTTCATGACCAAAAAATCAACATTTGTAAATTTAATAGGATTTCTTTTGATAAATTCAAATATGTAATCGAAATTTTCTTAACATTCATAGATTGTTTTTAGTGACATAGAGTTTAAGCTTATTTGAATATATGTGGATCAAAAGGGCAAATCATTTAAAAGATGGAAGTATATGGTTTTTGCTGTACTTGACCTGAGGAATATCTTGCATTGAAGCTCAGCAGAGGGTCAGTAAACTTGTTGAGACTTGAATTTTTTACACTATTTCGATATAAGAAATTTTGTGGTAAAAGCTCTTACCTTGCAATCACTCGCGTCTTGGAAACTGCAGAAGGAAAACACATTGTGGTAGAAATATCAGTTAATTTGAAGGAAAAGAAATGAAGGTTTTGTAAACTCATCGCATCATATGGCTATGCATGACTTCAAAATATTTTCCATTTTCTTTCGGTAGTTCTCTACTGTCACTTCAGCACAAAATATTTGCAAATATTCTTATGAGACTAATATGCAGCATTTTTACCTGAAAGTTTTCTGATACAGAAAGAGTTTTCTAAGTTATACCCCCATGAAAATACCTTACCTGCTTTCACCTTCATTTTGAGTTAGGAAATTTATTTCTGACATATTTGAAACTCCTCTCAATCCATTCTAGCTAGGTAAGTCTTACCCTTCATGAATCCTAGCTAGGAGAGAAGTTTAATGCTTCAAAATAACATTGTTTTGGGGGTATAATGATTTCCTTAGTTTGGCAAGAGAAAAGAAGTATTACATGTAGCTCAGTTTAAATCGGATGAGAATAATAATAATAATAATAATAATAATTTTTAAATAACAACATATATTCAAGCTATGTATTTGATACTCTTTCCTCCGTAGAATTCCCACTGGCAGCATGAGCAAATGGTGTATTTGGAAATTTTCTTATATTAGTAAGAACTGTAACTTGATTTAGAATTATCGTTAATTGGAAACCAACAGCGGTTTTAAAACTCAGAAATAAATTTGAAATGTACATAAGAACATTTATGTCAATTTTCACTCGAAAGTAATCGCACATTTATAAGAAGCATTTGCAAGTTGTCAAGTGAGTGACGCCCCTCAAACACTACAGTGATAGTAAAAATCCAAGTGAATATTTTAAGATCAACTAACAAGAATGCACAGGCATGAAAATATTTTATTCATTCTGTTGAAAAATCTTTGTTAACCAATGGGGTTTACATTTACAAAATAATATATGGTATCACTTTACCACCCACATTAGCACTAATTTCGGGTTAAGGATGTCAGAAGTACATTTTATATCTATGGTCGGGAAGACACTCTGTAACATTACTGAATTCATAGAAATAGGAAATGCGCCGTTGCAATTAAATGCATTCAACGTATAGTGAATAGTTAGACATTAACTTGGTAAATAATAAGCTCTGAACTGAATAAAAATATTTTTATTATTTTAGCTTTAATTTATTACTACGTCTTTGCATACTCCAGCATGCATATATTACACTAGATTTTATATCAAATTTTTCATTACATATAAATATAAATTAATATTTTAGTAACACAAAAAAAAAACTGAAATTACTTCTCTATTAAAATCACGTTTACAAAAATAATCCTAGAAAGTCTTACAGATTTTGGAAAAGATATCAAGATTTAACAAAAATCTGGCGTTGCTCAATTTACTCGCTTAAAAAGCGAGATATCATATAACAATGCTTTCAATACAAAATAGTATCTACACTTCCATTTGTTTATAATTTTAAGTTTCAACTGTATTGGAAACAATACTGAAGCATAGAGACTAAATGTTGTATTTGAAAAACGGCAGAGTAGAAATGAAAGCTCTTCTTTACGAAATAGCTTAGAATTACGAATATGAAAAGTTCAAACTTTTTAATATCTGATAGGTACATTTTATTTTGATTCTCAAAACTTCATATTTTGCTTAAACGAGAAATATTAAGATGAGTTTTCTTTGCGGAAAACCAAATGCATTAACATTGGTTTAAATACCGTAAAATAAATAGCGTCAATCATTGCCCCACCCAGAGATAATGAAACCTATTAAATATTAAGTACCTGTAATTCCTAGAATAGTGACTGCAGCTTCAGCTCCAGATAGCGATACCTTTGCTCAATAATCATATCTGACATCTGATAGAACTTCTATTAGCCATGTAACAAGCTTTTTATAGATTAGTTACTTTCTCCAGGGAAGAGAGGAAACGGAAAATCAGATGAATGTTGTTCCGAAATAATACATTAATCAGATTATTTTAGCTCTTTGAAACAAGTTCCTTTCCTTCCATAGTTTTTCCATTCTAATTTTAATTTCGCATTTGACGGCACAGTGAACTGATAGAAAGAGGAATAAACATGGCGATCTCCTAACGTAGGGGTGGTTAGTTGATTAATAGCTATAAAATGGGCGTGGAGCAGATTGTAACATCAGAAATGAAACAAGAAATATGCAGTAGTTACGAGAAGTGTCTCATAACAATTAATGAGTTAAATGAAAATCAGTGGTACATCCAGCATAATTTCCATTAAAATAGTTTTGCCCTCATAAATGTTTTTCGTTTCTTTCATCAAAACATTTGTGCTTATTGGGGAGTGAAAACAATATATGTATAAGTACTGACGCATTACAAAAATTACGAAGATGAGAATCCAAAGGCAGATGGATGCGCAGACAGACCTGTCTGAGCAGAAATAAGTGTTTCACTCAGTTTTATTTGTTCTTAAGGTAATTCGTTGTTTCCGATATTATAATCGTAATGCATTTCGAAAACATTGTTTTCATTAATTAATTTCTGTGTTATGTCTCAAATGAAATATCCATGCTGTTCAAACTTGTTGTAGAGGTTTAAAATTACGTTAAGGTTTATCTTCTTCTGGTAGTTTTAGGTTCATCAAACATTTACCTTGCAATTTTTCCATAATTTTCTAAACGAACAGAGGCGTTTGTTCAAAATTCGAATGAAAGTATAGTTACAGATATGTCTTAAGATACTATCGGTTCTATTCACGCAAACGTAAACTGAATTAACACGAGTCATGTATATTTTGGGATTAATCAGTGTGTATAATAGCTATGCAGAATGAATATTACGCTACACTTATCCCTTTGTAAACTATAAATAAAGTAATACTAAACCTATTTAGTGTTTCATGTCATTAGCATGTTCACCGGTGTAGGAGTATTTAATTATGGCAAAGCACACGAGGGCTATCTGCCTAAGGGGAGGGATGCCTTCGTGGAGGACTTTCTAAGGGAAACTAGCTCGTATATACGTTACACATGGGGAAAACCACGAAAACACCCATGCAGCCAGCCCGTTCGCGGGATTCGAACCTCGGACCGAACTACCAGTGTTCAGCGACTTTACCGCTCGTACGCTGGTGGGCAGCATGTTCACCGGAATCACACTTTTAAATTCCTTCAAGACTTTTCCTTCAGTTTCTTAGATTGGTTAACAGCTTGATGCTTTCTTTATGTATAGATCTTTTTCCGAAGATTAATCAGTTCTAGCTTTTGATTTAAAAGCGCGCTGTAAGCCCATACCTTTCACTTGAAGCAATTAATTATTATTAATACACTGATGGGCAGTTGCTGAGAGCGGATGACAGTAGAAGTCATAGCAACCACAAAATGGAAGGCAAGAAAATGTGAAATTAGTCTAAGTGGAGCCTAGCATAAGTTCATAGTAAGTAGCATAAGACGTGTTGTGCGTATGCAAATTTTGAATTGCGTAAGTTGTTCGTCATTTGATATAGAGCTGATAAAAGATAATAAAGGATTTGAAGTGTTCAGATGTAAAATTTAACAGAAAAGAGTCAATTGATGAACTTACAATGTTCAGTATGTCTTCCTGACAGCACATAGATGATTTTACGTGAGGCCGTATTATTTTTTTCCTTCAATGGTAGATTGTGAAGAATTACAAATGCAACCCAGTCCATTAATCTATACAACGCCGGATGTGGTGGTTATCTTTTCTGTTATGTCCCGGTATTCTGACATTATTTTATTCACTTAGCATCCAATCACACTTTTACACGCGCTATATAGCCGTTTGTGATCCGTCCTTATTGTCTACCAGTGTAGTTTTAAATTCAATAAAGCGTTAGTAAAATTGCTCGAAACATTGTGAAAATCACCGTGTCTGTATCTCAAATGTGTGAATTTATAAAAATTCTGTAACATTCTGATAAAAGGAGAATTTCTTGAGTTAGGACATTTTAACTTATCTCAAAATCAAACAATCTGTTTTCAAGACTTACATAATAAATGCAGCATTAGTCGTAGAACACTTAAGAGCTATTGACTGATTGCTAAAAAATTTTAATTGTCATTATTATTATTATTGTAAAGGTGTTCCTTAAAACAAACTGCACAAGTTGTAGAGTCATTAGATTTTTGAAGCAGGAGACATGAAAAATGAGTAATGTCCTCACCGGGACTCGAACCTAAATCTCTCGAATATGTGCTGAGTGTGCTACACTTACACCACGAAGGCATGCAGAAAAGAGGGAGGAAATACCTTATAATGTGAGCAGTAAAAATGAAACTATAACTCATACCAGACTAACGACATATAATTGATATCTTCAAAGATGTGCACGTGTCTTTCTTAATCACGGGCACCTACATATAAGCTTCAAGCTTTAAGTAGATCCAGATTAGTGTTAAATATGTAGGTGTTAATTAAGGTTAAATAGGAATTGTCTTCTCAAGTAACTCTACATTATTTGTTGAATTCCTTACACCGGTTTAGAATCAAATTATCTGCTTACTATTTGTGCCCAATGGCTCGGCACATTGCCGGTGGAAAGATAAAATCGCTATTTCCGAACGTGTCAACAGACGAAGGAAGTGCTTTCCGCTTTAGCGCGTGGATATATCCCCCAGAATTTATTTATGTTTCAAAGATATGTAGTGTTTCC